GCTCGCCCCTGTCCATTATGCGCGCTTGATCGGCCGAAAAAATCCCACCTTGGTTGGCAATGGCAACCGGCGACGCGAGCGGCATTCCTCTAGCTCTCTATCTCATAAAAGCTCCGATGCATGTACATTAGCGTAGAGTAAGGGGCGTGGCGGGATGCTGCGGCCTAAGTGAAAATGTTCAATCACATTTTGCCATGCGTATCGCTCTCGGGCATACCCCTGCCCTTCTTGAAAGCGTATGAACGGCCGAAAAACATATTTTAGCTGGAAACGGTTACCGCAAGCTCGTGCTAATCATAATCATATAGATATATCATTCTTATATGAATAACATTTGATTATATATATTAATAGATATCGACGTTGATACAAAATTCAGACAGACCCACCCGCACTGCATGTTACCGTTATATATGAGATGGAAATGTAATTTTCGGGACATATGGGATTGAACCATTGTAATTATTTGAGAACTAAAAAATACCAAATAATGTTGGAAAATTTTGATATAATATGTGATTCAAAGGAACTGGTAATTGTCATTTTATTCGTGAACTGATAAATGGTATATTTTTTACCAGAGGCATTGGGAATGGGCCATCCCGTTCTCCACTATCGCATTCACATAGAAGAATTTCAGTTATTTCAGTTATTATGACATTTTTTTATGTTAATCGATAGGAGTTTGGTTCTTATAAAATTAATGCTAAAACAGGTATATATTTGACTAATTTACAAGCATGTAATTCAATGGTCGTGTGTACGTTGAGTCGTTGAAAAATGTATGGAATCATTTTAGCGCGTAAAAACATTTCAGGTGGCGCCACTGTTCACTGCACCATTATCACTGTAAGCATTTGTGCGATCTCCAGTGTCTCCATGCACTATTGAGAGACATGGTGAAGAACGTTCGAACTTTTGTTGATCTCCAGTTAAGTGAAAGATTATGTTGACGAGATGACAACGAAAGTTATATACTTCACAGTAGGTGAACGGGGAGAGAGAGCGGAGTTTAATGATGATTCTCCAGCTGACGATGTCAAAGGTTTGTCTCTGTGTAGTCTGTAGTGGGATCGAGTGTCGGAGTGATTCGAATTCAGATTTTTAGCATGGCCTTTATCTGTTAATTAGCTCTAGTACTATAGCCCGCTTACATTAACTGCCGCTGGCCAGATTACTTAAGCTATCTGTTAATCAACTTATTGTTAACTAGTGTGAGTAGTGTTAATGTTATCATTCGAAAATATCGTTTGTTTGCTTCAGTTTCAAATCGAACATTAATTGTAGTTCTATATTTATATACACAACGCTATAAGTAGCTCTACTGCAGGGGAATATTCGTACCACGGGCTTTTTAATATTTGAAGTTTTATTGGTGAATACCACTACGGCTAGCTCTAGTACTATAGCCCGCGTACAGGTGCCGCTGGCCTTGAACCCATAGTACTAGAGGCTAGAGCTACCCTACGGCCTACTGGCTGTAAGTGCATGTAAGCCCATGTCTAGTAAGTAGTAGTTGTGCAAATCCACTTTAGGCACCTTAGGTATCACGGAATTTCCGTATATCAAGGAATGATGCAAAAACCCTAACCCTAACCCTAACCCTAACCCTAACCCTAACACACTTTGTGATACCTAAGGAGTAAGGTTATACTTTATGACTTAGGGTTAGGGTTCGGGTTTTTGCATCATTCCTTGATATAGGGAAAGTCTGTGCATCAGTTGATGATACACAGAAATCTGTGCATCACTTCGTGATACCTAAGGTGCCTAAAGTGGATTTGCTGGCCGGTGGGGAGTAGTAGTTGATCGCTTGACTGATCTATATTTATGCCAGAGGGGTACAATGTGGGGAAACGCGGAAAATAGCTTGCTATTTCACGGCAATGGCTGGGTATTGTAGGCGGAAGTTATCACGGTACCGCATTACAGCAGCCATTCGACCCCATTCTTTAGGTTTCTCTGAAACAAGAGCAACCGCCTTGTCTCTACGAGACTTCCTACACGGCCACGATCATTGGCTAGTAAAACCTCCCTCCCACAGGCCTAACCGCGCCTCGCACTCCAGGGCCGTTTCCACGAAGCTCATCGTAAAAAGACCATCTTAAGGATTATCCTTAGAATTTTGCTACTCGAAGAGGTACGCTGCTCCTAAACGTCCCTCGTTAAAGTGTTTCAGAAACTTATGCGTGCGTTGTTAGACGGTCCTTATAATTCAGCCTGTAAGCGATTGTGCTCGGTCCGCAGTAGATGGCGTACGCCTCATCTTTACACCTTGATACTAGATAGTCTGATATATGAGGAGACATGCTTACAAGTCTCAAATGGCGACGCCAGCTCACTGGGAGTGTGCTTCGCCTAATCTCTCGCCCGTCATTTAGTTTCAATAAATGTAGCGTACAACCAGGCGTGCCAGACTAAAAACTAATAAAACTAAAGCCGAAGGCTTGTCAGATTCCCTGCAACGTCAGAACTACCACAAATTTTCTATGAGCGTATTGAACCTGCCTGAACAAAATGTTACCTAAATTCTGAAGGTTTCAATTTACACGTTTACTTTACTACAGTCTTGGCGCGATAGGGATACAGTAATCTACATAGACGAACAAGCCGAAGCACAATGTAAGGCTGCAAGGCAAGCATTTTCACTTCTTCAAAACATTCTGCTACCGACAATAAGAAGCTTCCTTAGCCACACTGTAGCTTAACCCTGCACGTCTGCCTTCCGACGGCTTGCACAGAATTCTCGTTAGACACCAGAAAGTTACCTTCTCGGGGCGGCGTTTTCCGCTTTAGCACTTGCTTGCAAAACCATGAAAACACGACGGGAAATCTCGCGTTTGCTTGCCCTGTACGATAGCCTAAGTATCTGCCCTGACCTGTCCTTAATATTCCGTCCTAATTAGCATAACGGTCGTTGAACGTTAGCGGACGTTCTGTGATAAACACGCTGGAAACTTGGCGAGGCTTTCCTGAAAACACTCTTATACTAAGGCATAGTCCTAAGAACCGCTCTTTACACCCATCACTACTCCTAGACGAACGCGCCTTCGTGAACGGCCCCCAGATTATTCCCGATCTTATCTCTCTGGCGATGTCTGCGCTATGGTACACCATGTAGTAACTGAGCTGCGTTGTAGAGAATTAATTTAGAAAACATTGCCGGCTCCATCATTATGGACATTAGCCGTGCTAGGAAAGATAATGAGAGATAAGGGCCTAGGCGATGCCCCCGAAAGTCAGCGATGATAACCAAAACGCCGTTCATTCATAAAGTCATCGCGGGAAAAACCGAACTCTCACGAAGCGACTTTCCTAACCCGCAAAAGGTGAGAAGGTTCGGGAATAATCTGGATGCGAGGTGATGTGAGGCCTGTGGGAGGGGAGGTTTACGAGCCAATATCGTGGCCTAGGAGTATCGTAGAGACAAGCGGTTGGTCTTGTTTTAGAGAGCAAAGAATGCTGCTTAATGCAATACCAAGCTTTACTCGAGCATTACTCGATGTTCACACGTATATATACTACACTACTGTACAATACTGTATACGTACGTACATATGTTCGACTTACGAACAAAGCGAATTACGAACGACCCCTCGGAACCGAACACGTTCGTAAGTCGGGGGAGTCTCTGTACTACATGTACTACTAGTATACATGTAGTAATAAGCAATACCATTAACCGTCCGTGCAGTGAAAAAAATACACGGGGGCTCGGGGCGATTTAGCCCCCGAAATGCCAAAAAGAGCCCCGGAAATGCCAAAAAGACCCCCCATAAATTTGCATAGAGTTCAATGCAAACCAAATTTTAGAGTGCTATTTTCATGCACGCGAGCTTGAAAAGTAGCCCCCGAAAAATAAATGAAAATTTTTTCCCTGCGTCCGTGCCCTGTGGCACTCGTGTAACTACGCACTAGTAGGAGTACGTCCTTGAATGAGGAAATATGGCAAATGTCATGCAGCTGCTTGTTCTTTATTAATAACAGTTAGTTTGATATTTAGTAAAATATTTTGCATAAACGTGTTTGTCACTTTGTGCACATAACCTCATCATAGGCTCATAAATATTATTCTTCAAAGTCCAAGATGAAAAAGACAGAAAAAGACAAAGTTTATAAAATAGACAGATCAACACTTTGCATAGCAGTAGAACAAGCTCAAATTTGCAATTAACTAAAGTAAAGAGGAAGGGAGAGCATTCCAATAACATGTACATCATCCATATATATATATCAACATATCCATGCACATAACGTCAGGAGTTAATGAAGACAATTTGTCTTCATTAACTCCTAATAACATGCATGTGGGATGTAGCTGCCATATTACTTCGAGTACTACGTCATTATGGGGTAATACAACCTACTAGTGTTAATGAGCGATCTATTACTTACCGTATTACATTATTACATTACTATACTATACATACACTATAACCCCCACGATACATATACATATATACACCGTACTACATACTTTATTATTTATATACTAACTACACTAAACAGTTATTACTATACATATACAGTAGTAACTACTAACATAATATTAAATACACCTAACATATACATACTATATATCAGTATACATAGTATCACTATATATACATACTATATATACATATACATATATTACTTACATATACAAATATACTTATACACTAAGTACATATATCTACCTATACACACTTAACATATATAACTACTACATATACATATATACTATACATAAGACGAGTAATATACCTATACATATACATAATCTACTATACAACCTATACATAGTTAACTACTACAATATGACATAATATACCTATACCAACGGCAACATAATATACTATACACTTATACAATATTACCCTATACATCATACGATACTACGAAACTATACACGTATACAGTATATACCGTATACATTTACATATATACTACTACAGGTGGGTATACATATATAAACCATATACATATACAGTATTTACATATAACACTATACCATATATACTTACCATATACATATCATAGTCATACAGTATACATCAAGTATACTGATACAGTACTACATAATATTACTATTAACATATACAATATACTATACATATACATATACTATACATATACATATATACTATACATATACATATATACTATACATATACATATATACTATACATATACATATATACTATACATATACATATATACTATTACACGTAATAAGACATAATACCTATACACTATACACTATAAATCTATACATATACATATATACCATATACACATAAATATCATAAACTACATATACATATCATACCGTATACATATACTATATACTATACACTATACATATATGAGGCGGTGATACACTATACATACTAATACTATACCTATATCATATATACATTTATATCACTACATCTACAAGTATACCTCTACAGATATACAATATACTATACATATACATATAATACCGATACATGTACATAATATACCTATACACTATAATTATACCTCGAACACCATATACATTAGATATACATATACATAATCATACTATACTAGTACACTATACCGTACCTTACCATATACAGTATGAGTATCAACGTATACCGACTCAAGGTATACATATACATATACAATTATATACTCCTACATATGCACCATTATATACTGTACAACGGCTAATACATATTACACGCTATACTTACCATACTATACTATACAGCTACTACATAATTACGTAATACATACTACATACGTATACGTATACACTATACAATATCACTATACACGTATACATACTATACTATACACTATACATATATTGGGATATACAGCGGATTAACAACCCATATACTTATAACTATACATATATACTCTACATACAGGGTTCTCCCTTCGTGCCGCCAACGGGGGGCGACGCGGTGCGGCCCCGGCTTTTGGGAAAACTGCCCCTTGTTTGAATCGTTGCGCCCGCGTTTGAAATTCACGAGTTCCGCCGCCCATTGGGCTGCTTAAATTCCACACCAATAAAGTTGCCAGCGCCCG